ATACTATCATAAATATTTGTTCATGTTGAATTTGAGAAAGATAATTAATACATTGTTCTGTATCGGAAAATACATTAATTGAATTGATCATCTTACGAAGTTGATTCATTACGCTTTCATTCAATGTTTCAGATTTCAAATCTAACCAAACGATAATAAAATTTTCAGTAACACGAGCAGTTACTTTCATCTTTAATAATTCTTGATTGTCAGTACCGTTGTGCACTTCAGACATTCTACAAAAGAATAAAATATGACTACAGGCTTCGTTTATTAAATTTTTTATAATTGTTGTTATTAAAATTGTTTAATTAAGATATTCAAACAAAGAAATTGTGTTAATATTTATTTGAAAGCAAAGGTTAATAATTATAGAAACAATTAGAAATTGATAATGATCTATTTTGCTCACCTGTGTTTTTGTTTTTATTCAAATTGTTATTTAGATCGATAATTGCTATTCTCTAAAATGAATGCAATCAAATGAATCTCTATAGAACAACAATTGTTATTCTTTGTCCTTGACGAAGAATAATTTTTCTTTTGTCCTTTTATATGTTCTCATATTGTCCTTTGAATTCATTTTTTTTTTGAAAATTATTTGAATGTTATTCTCATTCTATTTTTAATAATGAAAATATAGAGTAACATACAAGTTCAAAAAGGATATTCTTTTGATCCACGCTATTTTGATTAAGAATACTACACAATAAAATAATGAATCGCGTATTAGATTATACGAACATTATAAAAATGTACAAAAAAAAAAACATTCTTTGTTTTGTTATTTCAATGCACATGTATTGTTTCAGCGGTTGTTAAACACTTTCAACTTTTGTTGAATATTGTTACCGATGTATAAGTGTTTTAAATTGAATTATTTCTGAAATGGGCGGTATAGAAAAAGCAATTTGCAATATATAATATGATGTATAACTTCAATTGTTCGAAAGGTACATCTGATGTTTTTATTTGAAACAATAATCTACGTCATGTTCATAGAAACTCTTTCAAATAACATACATAAAATATTCATATCATAATATTGGTGCCATATTTTTCAGTATGTCGGTAGAGCACCAAGAAAAGTTTTGTCTATGAGGACATTTTGAATTATTCAATGAAGTGAGTTGATTGTTTAGCAAATTTTCTCACACTTATTTCCCTATATACGAAACCATAGGGTACGTATGTTCATAAAAGAATGGCTAGAAGTGTAAATGATATTACAAGAACAATGTTCATATTGTGAATATGAAAGATGATCATTCAGTTTAATTTTATTCATAATCAAGGAATGTCTACTTTTAATGGATATTCATTATATCATATTTGTCTATTTTATTTATCAAAAGTAATTTTAAATACATCACTTTCATAATGATCAATGTAAGTACTTAATAAAAAAAAATATAGGTAAGAAATTTCCAAAATTGTTATCCATTAAAATAATCACACTACTGTTAATGTATTATATGGCATTTAGCAAACAGTAAACAGTCATCTAGAAAAAGAAGAGAATGTGAAAAAAACATATGCAACAAATAAGTTGAAAGCATCGAAAAATTTTACATACATGACACTTTATTTTTCATAATAATGTTTATTTTCTTCAAAATATATTCAGTCATATTCCAAGTAATGTGTATTATATAGCAATTACCATAAGTTTTATCCATGTATATGACTAATAGGAACCTAAATTGTTTTTTTATCTTAATGAAAAACGTATGTCAATCGTGACGAATAATATTTGTCATGTGTAGTTCAATCTTTGACTGATGTGAAATTTAATTATAAGAAATTCAATGCTTTTGTTTTTCTCAACAGATATATTAATTAATCGTTCATTCAATCTTTCGTTGTAGGAGATTTTGATGTTTTATTGAGGTTTTTATTAATATTATGATTGCCGAATATAGATGTTTACACGAGTTGATTTTAAAAGCATTCAACTTTTTTAGAAAATTTGTTGTTTTTTTTTCAGTAATCTGTTTAAATACTATTACTTTAGTAATTTTTTTTTATGTGAAATATGACTTACAGTTTTACTATTCATAGTAACTATATTTCTAAACATAATTCTCATCTTTCTGATTAGTTATTATAGCCATTCAAAGGCATTTCGTTCGTGTCTGAATAATTCAGACTTGACATTTTTTGCCTATACAATTATTGAAAATTGTACATAGTTCAGTTGAAATGTCTCAAATGAAATATGCTGATATCTTTATTAAGGTGATATCATACTGTCGTAAACCGTTTGATTATGTTCCCAATGCATTGATTATCCTTTTTGTCTCATGTTTTAATTGCAATTATCAATGCATCTCTAGTTAGTATTTTGATGGCTTGCGGTGTAAAAATCAATATTTTATTGATCGTTGACATGGTTCGAGTAAAACATACCGAACTAATCTAAATCTGATTTGTCTTGAAATATATCAATATAGATGGAAATACTTTAACTCTTTTATTTTTTTAAAGATGTAATTGTTTTACTTTTTTTAATTTCATTAGTATTCTCAATTGTTGAGACTTTCAATGTTCTTAGTCCTGAGTTAGAATGGTTTAGTGGCATAGTATGACTCGAAAAAAAAAATCATGAATATTCATGTTGATACCTAATAATCGTTAGTATATAACAGATAGAGACAAACACAATGTGTTATTCCTTAAAAATAGCTCTTGTTTAGGTAACATAACAATTTATAATATGAGAGTAAGTATTCAGAATCATCGCTACAGGCAGTTGTAATCTACTAACATTACTCTAAGTGAAACATTTATAAATAGGGTAATCACAACACCAAGTGAGCAATAGTGGATTGCTCTATTCATCTGGATACAGGATTTAACATTCACACAACTAGATGTATTAATATTTATCGCTAGGCATTAAATACAACTAATAGAATCCATATTGCAAGTAATTGTATCCGCGATGTGCAACAGTTTGATTTTGAAGATAATGGTAAAAAATATGTGCATTTCTCACACAAACAGAAGTAGTCATTACTGAGCTATAATACTCTTTCATGAGGAACTGTTGACGACAGACAAAATTGACAAATCATAGCCTTTAGTCAGTTAAACCAATGATTGAAGCCAGGAAAAGATTTGACATTTGCTAGCAGTCTGAACGACACATTTAGCTCAGAAGTCACGCTGCTCATAGATACGACCGGATTACTTTAGTTACTCATGAAACTAATATGTATATTATAGACTGGATCATGATGTACGATAGTTTCATCTTATCTGTAACTACCTACTCTCAAGATACATTACAAAAGCAAAATGATAAGAATTTTTTTGTTTACTTTTGTATAATATGGCTAACATTGTCAATTACATTATCATTATAAAGAGAGTTACTGCGACAGATCAAAAAGAGTTGGTTCGTACAATGTCTTCGGACACGGAAACCAGTTTAAATAACTGAATGGTAGATGTCCTTATAATTCATATATTTAAAATAATAGATATTTATATATTAATATCCGCACCAAAATTAAAGAGAATTGAGCGTGAGCTGGATAACTCAACAACGACAACAATTAGTGACGTATGGCTTTCTGAAATTCGAAGAAGAGAACGTCAGGAGTATATTTGTCTAACACTAAATACGACGAAATTATTGTAAAACTCATCAACTTCTCAAAACATTCAAACAAATGCATGCAACCAGTGTTCCATTTCGAAAATATACGTGGTTTCGTTTGTTCAACCTTTAATTATGAGAAGATAACTAATTGAATCGTGCCTTGAACTACAGATCTGAAGCACATGTCAAAATTAAAATTATATTGAACATAAAATACCATTTTCATAAATTTTACGAAGATGATAAGTTTTAAAATAACTCTGCTTGATTTAATATCATATTGAAAAAAGAAATGTTCAGAGGTCTTCTTTTTCGATTGTTAAAATGCACAGATTGCTAGCTATTATCGTCATCGAGTTATTGAGATTACACCCATCCTTCCTTAATTCTGACGCCGACATTATTTAATATTAAGTGTTGAATGAAAAGTAAATGAAGCTAAAACACTTGTCGATATATTTCTCTTGTATCGGTTACAAATCGCATTAAGCCAACATTTTCCGTCCATTTGAGATTATTTTTGTTGTTTATTTATTTGCATAAATAAATACATAATCGACATTAGTTTATTTATATATTAACAAAATTCAATAGATAATGTTTTATTAGAAAATATGCTAATGATTGAATCTATATCAACTGCTCCTTCCATAATAGAACACTATACACTTTTAATCTGATAGAAGATGTAGTGAAAGGTTGGAGTTTCAACTCAAGAAATTTTCGACGCGGTCCAAAATTTCTCTAATAAAAAGCTTTATTTCTATGAGTATTTACTACATTTCATAGTGCTTACTCGTATACATTTTTACGAAAAAAGTACATATCACCAGCATGCATTTAGATTAAACTACAGTTCTAGAGTTTCGTTCAGTGAAATAGCATAGTGTTAAGTAGTATGAATTTAGATCATATTATAGTTGTACCGTTTTTGTCAAAAAATTGTATTTCGAGAAGTAGTACTGTGACTCAGTGAACGACAAGCACTATATGAATTTCGTAGTTGAAATGCTTTATATGAAAACATCAGTTGTTAGATTGTTGAATAAATTACTTAGAAATCCACAATATCAACGAGGTCAAAGTTCATGGAGCCCAGTTTAGTAATGACTGATGTGTCTATGTTATCTGATATTGAATTCTTTAATTTTTCTTGTAAAACTTCTTTATAGTCACAAATGTTGACAGATTAAAATATGTTTCATTAATTGCTTTTTGTTCTAATACTTGAGACGTAGATTTATTAATAAATGAGATATCGAAAAAAATGCATTTTTCTGAATTTCTCTGACAATCGAGGTGAATTTAGTATATAGCCATTTTACACTAAAATAATTCTAATTTGATAAAAAATAAGTGAATATTGCATGTCTATATGTTATTATATAAATATTTATGTATTATTGTCCAGTTTTACTTTGGCAAAAAGAGTCAAAATAGCATCAGCAGCTACAAATGGTGTTATAAGTCCACGAGTAACACGTTCTTCGTAAGTTTGAATTGCTTTTTGTATATCTTCATCGTCCAAAAATTGTTCAAGTATTCGATCTTTTATATTATTCCACATCCATTTTCGAAGTTGTTGAGAACGTTTAGTCATTAATTCACCTGATTTAATCATTGCAGTTTCAAACTGTAACATTTGTTCCCAAGATTTATCAATACCAGTATTTGTACGTGACGAAACTGATATGACCTTTATAAATTTATTCAATTTAATAATTAGATAGCCAAAAAAAGAAAAATATTTACTCTCGGTTTCCAATATGGAGAACGACGACGCATTAATCTAAGAGCACTTGACCAATCAGTTTGTAGACGACGAACTTCTGGCATTAATTCTCCATCAGCTTTTGTTATAATTACTAAATCGACTAATTCCATAATTCCTTTTTTCATACCTAAATTAAAATCATATAATAAAGAAAAGGAAAGAAAAGAGGTATTGTGATAAATATTGAAAATGCTGTCTAAAGAAATTCGATTTCTTCTTTATCAAACTATCACACAAGATGTTAGAAAATGAGTTTTCATAGAATTAATCATATAGCACTTATTTGTGCTGTACACCAGTCAATTGAAATAATCGATGCTATTCACATGTACCTTGAACACGACTATTGATAAGAATCAGTACATTTTATCTACGTATGTCATGTGTGATCAAGTTATTTTCATATGCTTCGATAAAACTTTTTGAATGCTTCAAAATAGTAAAAAAATAACATTGAGAATAAAGACTGACAATACAAAGAAGTCCTCCAGAAAACTATTATTGAGACATGATTTTATGATTTTTTTTGTCGAAGATTTAATAGATTTCGATTAGAAGGGAATTTTTTCGTGTGGTCAGCATGCTTTTCTCCATGTTTTTAAACTACCTTTAGTGGCTTGAAGAGTATTATTGAATCATATAAATACTAATCGGATCGTTCTTTGTATTGATAGATAAAACGAGTTAGTCACTTCTAACAACCAGGTATAGTTTACGTACGACAGCTAAGTCTAGTTCTATCAAGAATCACTTTGAAACATCTTGAGTTAGAGTTTGACATGAAAGAAATCATATTTATGTAGATAGCTAATTTCATCAGTTATCGTCCTTTGCCTGCTTTCATTTTATTCTAACCTTGTAATTCATCGCCTGATCCTGGTGGAAGTAAAACACAGAACATATCAACCATATCTACAACAGCAAATTCAGACTGTCCAACACCTATAAAAGGAAAACAAAACTTCACATGTCATGTCATATTTTAATTTTAATTTCTAACATACCAACAGTTTCGACTAGAATAATATTATAACCAGCAGCTTCACAGAGAACAATAGCATCATTTGTTGTTCGAGTCACACCACCTAATGTACCAGCTGATGGTGATGTACGAATATATGCATTTGGTTCGCGTGACAGATCCAACATTCGTGTTTTATCACCGAGAATCGAACCTAATTGTCAACATAGAAAAGTTCAGTAAGAGTTTCAAAATATTCATTGTATCTACCTCCAGTAGTAGATGATGATGGATCAACAGTTAATACAGCTACTTTATGTCCTTGATTTATCAAAAATCGACCAAAAACATTGATAAAAGTTGATTTTCCTAGAAAAAAAAAAAATTATTGTCTTCATCGTTTAAACTTTCTTAATTAATTATTTCGAAATTAGGGATTCTACACTTTTTTTTTCGAAGCAAGAAATAAACTTTTACCATTTACCAGCACCAGGGCTTCCGGATAAACCTATAGAAAGAAACAAAATTACACATATAATTTCTTTTATCATTTTATTGTCATACCTATTCTAAAACTAATCGGTGTCTTTGGTTGTTTTTCTTGTCGTTGTTTAAGTTCTTGTAAAACTTGACCAAGTAATTCCTTTGCTTTTTGTTGTTTTTCGTGATGAGTTGATTCTACTAATGTAATACTTCTTGCTAAACAACCTCGATCACCATTAATCAGTCCTTTATAGAGATCAGCAACTGTTGATACATATCTTCGTGATACTATACTAGTAAAACGTTGAGCAAACATAATGATGGAATTAATCTGAAAGTATAAATGTCAATGCCTGATACGTCATGAAAAAACAAAAAGATTAATTTTTTCAATAACTTGTTTATGCAAAAAGAAAATGAAAGAAGGACTAATAAGAACAAATACAGTAACATAAAGTCCTATTTAATATATTTCACCTTTACGACCACGAAATCGAGCACGCATATCAATCTAGAGAATTTATACAAAAAAAAAGAAAACAATTCAATATCAATCAAAATTTTTCGTGTTACCATTGATCGTTTACATTCAAAAAATGTATAAGCTAAACGTCGACATTCATCAGGAACAAATTCACGTAACTTTTCATTCGAAAGACATTCTTTTGGTGTATGTCCAAGCTAGAAATCAAAACTTTTCTTTTTATTTAATTAAAAAAACCACTATAGTAGATTTATTACTTTACAACAATCACTAGCCAATAAACACATTTTTAAATCATATCGAAGTAAATCACATGCAGCATGTGGTTTTTTTTTCTGCTCCTCCAAATCATAATCAACTGGATATTCGGCTTTGTGTGTCTAGAATTAGACTATAATTTAACAACAAAATCATTCAATTTCTTTTGTTTCTTTTCTCTTGATATTTTTTTGAGAGAAAATTTTTACTGTTCGAACAAATATAGATTTATCGATATACATGAAAGGATAATAACAATAATAAGAAATTATTTAAATAATGTCTCATAACAATTTAAATCAGATAAATTAGTATTATGTTCTAATTTATCAATAGCTATATAATGAAATTTTTCATCAATTAACATTCTTAAATATTCCATACAATGACGAAGGCCAAAAAGAAAATTTTCATCAGGTTCTGTATTAGATGATGATGGAAAAACATGAGCAAAATCAACAAGACGAACATCAACTTTAATATCATTTGAATTTTCTCTATGATCACCATCATAGACAATCAAAATTGATGATGCAATAAAAACAAATTCATATTGTTTGGACATAATATTTTCAAGAACAACAAGACGTTCAAGTACAGCTCGTACATATGGACGATGATCATATTCAGGTGCACCAAAAAAATGTGCTAAACCATAAATAAGTTCATGTTTAGTCAATGTTCGTGCACAACGTTTATCATGATAAATATATGCACTATTTAATTTTCGATAAGTTTTCCATCCAAGTAATTGAAAACCAATTTCAGTTGCTGGTTGAAATTTTCCTATTTGTCGTTCAATTTTTTCTGGTGTTGCTTCACAATCATAAGTTATTCGTCCAAGTTTTATATCAATAATACATGGATATTTATATGATCGAATGATATTTTCTAATATTAAATAAGACATACTACCAAATTGATATGTACCTAATAATGTCGGTAGAAATGATCGAAGTCCAAGAAGTTCGTTGGAAGTTTTATCAGAAAACATATAAAGATAAAATTTCTGTTCACGTGGACCACGTGGTGGATTAAGTAATGGTTTAAGCACATCACCTGTTGAACAACGTTGTAATAAACCAAATTTTGTTTTTGATCGACCATAAAAATGTCCAGCAACTTGATGTTCAAGTGGTTCAGTATCCGGTGGTAATTCTGGTAATGGTTCCATATTCGTTAATATTATCTGAAGAAAATGGGATGTTCGAATGCAATACTACGTGCATATTATGCACGATTCTATACGTTCGAAATACTAAGTGTTTGAGTGAAAAAAAAAACAAAACAAGCCAAAAATATCCATAAAATTAATTCATGAAATATACATGAATCAACAAAATTTGCTTTTGGATATTTTTATTCTTTTAAAACTATTTCAAAAATTAACTTCTCTCATTCGTTTCTAATATAGAACTCAATAGCAAATATTGATTTTTGTTTTCTGTGTATGAGATAAAAATAAGTGCATACGGCAGAATCTAACCTTGATGAAGAATGTGACGAAGTTTTATTCTCATTTTGATGAAAATGAAAAAAAAAATCATTTTATACTGTTTTATTCATTGCAAAGGTAGCGACCCCCCTGGAGTTAATCATTATAGTGTGACGTCCTGTATCCCTATTTTTAAAATAGGTATTTGCTCTTTTAAAAAAGAAAAGTTGGATAAACACTGATTATATATATGAAAAATTCTAATCAATCATCTTTAAAAGAAAGTATATTTAGATCGAAAATAAGATTTAAAATTATTAAAAATTCTTCATTTAATTTTCTGTTAGACAACAAAATCTATAGAAATTTTTTCCTAACAACTTAATAGTGTAAAATATAATGATAAAACGAAATACATACTGGTTTTACTTCGGCCATTGTTGTTTTCCGATAAAATTTTCCTTTCAAAATTTATATATCTAAAAAAAAATAATAACAAATTTTTAATACTAAAATCTCTAAACGTGAAACAATAACAGAAAAACAAACAAAAATAATAAAAAACAATAACAATAACAATTATAATTCAACAAGTCCAATATCACGATAACCATTTAATAAATCTTGATCAAATGAATTATCATTAATAGTTATATCCATATTTTCATCAGGTATTTGTACGCGATTATCTTCAGTTAATAAAAGTTTTAATAAATATTTCATTTGTTTTGAAATTTCATTTTCTTGATTAAGTTTTCGACTATTAAAACCACTTAATAAACTTTGAATATTGGATTTTCGATGATGACTTTGTTTTTGTCTAATATTTATTTGTTCAATAATATCATTAGATGAATGACATTTACTTAAATGTCGACAAATTGATGCTTGACATGTAAATGTTTTTGAACAAGAATTCATTGGACATGATAAACGTGAAATATTTTCATGATGAATTCTAAATAGAAAATTCTTTTTATTATTTATTTTTTCAAAAACAAAAGAAATTTACTTGATATGATGTCGAAGATTTCTCATATAAAGAAATCGTTTTCCACAATTCGGATGTTGACATATAAATTCATCTTGATGAATTTTACTATTACGATGTTGATCAAGTTGAAATAATGAACGAAATATTCGATCACATAAATCACATTTAAACACTAAAATTTATATTATGTTAAAACAATCACTTCTAAAAGTTGTCCCCAAAGTCACTATACAACAAAAAAATGTTTGAATATCTTCGTTAGACTTCTATTGGATAAACTATTGATAGCGGTTGCTTCCAAATACTCCTACGAAATAGTACTTCAGGTTCAATATCCAATAAAGTTTAATAAACGTATGTTAATTATTAAATTTTTTCTAGTATCTTAATTTTTTTCTTATACTTCTTCAGTTTTTGTAAAATACGATCTAAAATTATATTCAAACATAGCCCAGGTCGAGAAGTACGAGCGGGTTTCGGCAGAAAAACACCGGAAGTCGCCGAAACAGTGTAGCAGTATTCCGGCCGGAAAAAATCCGAAAATTTTCCGACCAGCATACTGCCACCCTGTTCCGGCGACTTCCGGTGTTCTCCTGCAGGATACGGTGAATTTTCCCGCATCTCTCCTGCTGAATCCGGCGACACTCTCCCTTTCTCGTGTCACAGATGTTGATATATGATTGTAGACCATATATAAATAACGTCTGATTACCTCAGGTGACCTACTTCGTTATTGTATTTCTGAAGGATTAAGTGAAAGAATGGCGAAGAAATGTGTTCCAAAATAAATAGAATCAAACAATCTCCATTTGGTTAGTAACAAAAGCTACATTGGACTTCATATTTTAACCCTTGAGAAGTTACACTAACGACATTTATGATCATTGTGGGCATCCTTTTCTTCCTTTATAAACGTGTATCTGATATATCTGGATCTCAGATTTGATCACTATGAAAACTTAGTTCAATGCATCTTCCATCAAAGTTTCTTACCTACAATAATGAAAAAAAAATATAAGAAGAATTCGACATATTATTTTTCTTTAAATTGAAAAAGGACTTTATTATGTATTGAACCTACAAGTACTACTGTGCAGGAGTATTTGAAAGTATCTTCTATTGCCATTTCATCTAATAGAACCATAAGATATTCAAATTTTGTGGAACATCAGATACATGTTGCTGATATTCGATTAAAGATTATTTATCAATAACGCCTCGCTATTACTTGCTAATGACATTTTTCCAGGATTAAGTAAAAGGATGATGAAGTATACTTCAAAATATAATAAAGTCATTTCATGTATTTAGCCGTAGCAGATGCATCGCGTTCCACATTTCAAACATGCGCAGACTGTGCCGACAGATTTTTTTTGTATAGTGTGACATTGGGGACATTCTGTATTTTTATTTACCTTGTTTTCGTTCTATTTCATCTAATAATCGATTCATTGTCCATTGAACATCGAGTTCTCGACGTTCGTCTAAATACCAATGGAAAAAGTTTTTACAATTTATATATCATATACACCCATTGACGGTCTTCAAAGGTGGTCACCCAACCTTTTACTAACCGTATGTAACGCGCAAAGGCCAATGGATGATCTAAATTTAATTATAAAATCCTTCTTTTTTGTTTTTTTTACTTTTCTGAAAATAATTATTCATACCTGTATGAACAATACGGTGATGAATCAAACTTTTTATTGATGAAAATTCTTTAGAACAATCAAGACATCTAAACAAAAACATATTGTTTTGTTTTTTTTTTGAATGATAATAAATATAAAAATTTCTACTTTAATTTATCTATTGAAGTTGAATTATGTTTAACAATTAAATGTGATTCTAATGATTCAACATAATCAAAACAATATAAACACTAAAAATATTACAATTGAATAAATAAAATAAATTATATTTCAATTTACTTTAATTGGTTTTAGTTTTGTTTTTTTATGAGCTATTCTAATATGTCGATCAAGATTTTGTTTATTAACAAATGTTTTTGTACAATTATCAATTATACAATTAAATCTAAATTCAATAAATTAATATACAAAAATGAGATTAACATATTTTTCAATTATACTTTTTTGTTGTTGTATTTTCTTGTTGATGTACAGTACGATAATGTCGATTAACATGATCTTGATTTGAATATGGTTTGCCACATTGAATACATTCGAATGAAAACTAATTTGAAAAGAAAATGTTTCTATAGGAAATGCTTCATTTAGTTTTTTTATTTAATTTTTCTCTTCCAAAAGGACGAACAACTATTTTCGAGAGCACACACACATATACAAAGTACATCATACAATAACCAAAAGTTTCAAGAGGGTCCATGAGATCTTTGAAAAAGATGCCGTTCATACGCCGGATAGAACACAAACATCATTGTTCAAATAGAATTATTGACTTCGATAAGAAAACAAACAAGAAAATGTTGTTATCCATTTTTAAAGTAAACTAATTATAAGCGAAAAGAGATATTTTTAAAGAATAATTTACTTAAAATATTCTGAAAAATATTTCTACAAACAAGTTTTAGACAGGTGAAACACGATTGTCTTCAATGTGTTTGTCTGTATCTCGTTTGAAATAATCGATTATAGAACAGAACACTTTTTTATTAATTATATTAAAATATAAAATACCTTTTTCTCATGATGATAAGCAATATGATATTGAAGTTTACTTGGTCTCGAAAAAGATTTCTTACATATTGAACATTGATGAGATTTAGAGTACATTGGTTTGATTGATAGTTAGATAGAAAAGAAAAGAAAATAACAAAGTCTAATATAGCTAACTCAATTAAAATCAACCAATCAGAAATGTGAAGCGCTACTAGTAAGCTTTCGTTAAGACTTTTAAATTAAAATATTAATCAAAAATAAAAGTCTATTCATGAAATAAAATTAACAAAAAAATTAAATTCATAATAATGGTAACAACAAGAAAAAAATATTATTCACATTGATTCTAACGCTTTAATAGAAAAAAAAACTTTTTATCGAAGGTCTTGTTCTCAAATATGGTTGACTCAAGAGAAACTTATTCTTATTCTTTGCTCTAGTTCTAAACAACTACATTAGCATTTATTGAAAAGAAAAACATGGTTCTCGTTGAAGATGTTACATCAAATTCAAGATCATCAACAAATACAAATAATACCAATGCATCACCACCTAGAAATTCAACTCAAATACCTCCACGTCCAACTGTATCATCACCATCATTAATAAATGTTTTACTTGAACGTAAAACTGATACTGTTTTATTATTATCACGTTTAGCAACAATAGTTTTTACATTAATCTATATTTTACCATTTTTTCGTTCAAAATCTGAATCAAATGTTTATTATACAAAAGCATTATTATCATCAGCTGTTACGTCAATATTACGTCTTCGACAACGTATACCAACATTTGAATTTTCACGTGATTTTTTTCTAAATTTAATTCGTGAAGATAGTGCACATTATTTAATGTATTCATTTTTATTTTTAAGTGGTTCACCAATGACAATTGTTCTTATACCAATAACAACATATGCATTATTACATTCATGTTCATTTTTATCACAAATTTTAACAAATCATCCAGCTATAAAATATTATTTTGATCGTATTACTGAAAAACATGCTAATTTATTACGTTTTGTAGCATTAAATGAAATTATACTTATGCCATTATTAATTTTATCAATATTTATTGCACGTTCTAATTTATTACTTATATTTATGTACTATCGATTTCTTACATTACGTTATACATCACATAGAAATCCATATACACGTACATTATTTTTTGAAATTCGTCAACGTGTTGAATATTTATGTAGTCAACCAAGATGTCCACCAATAATTAAGCGTATTTGTTATAGTACAATTGCTTTTATTAATCGATTAGCACCAGCAATCGGTTAAAAAATTTGCAAAAAAAAATATTAAACTGAAATAGTCAGATTTTAAAAGAAAATACACGCAATTTGTTAAGAAATGCGAACAAATGAACTTTTGATCCTTTTTATTGCCTATTGGAGTTCTTTTTTCTTTTTTCTTATTAGATATTTGTTGTTGTTTCTTCCTGATTTCTTAAATGTTTATGATATTCTTGTCTTTAAATTTATACTAAACATACTTGTCATCGTGTGTTTTCCTTTTTTTTTTTATTCTAGACAATGTGATCATCATGATTGTCTCCTGTTATCATTGAATGGCCGCTCGAACTCGAGCGTCTTTTACCGATGACGACTCACTCAGCGACCACTTAACTTTAGAAATGGTTCGCGTTACTGCACCTCAAACAACATCTACTATAATGCCTACTGATCCAGAGGAACAAACAATATTGAATGATTCAGCTGGAACAATGGTTAGTAGTGGACCACCTCCTAATGATTTTCTCATACATCCTAATATCAATTTAATCGAAGGAATAAATCGAGACTATGAAATTCCAAATTTATGCACATATAAAAAAGTAAAAAAAAAAAAATTCTTTTTTTTTTATTTATTATTAAATATAAATACATTATTTAATAGATTGAAGCATTACTTGAAAAAATGCAAGATGAAAATACTGGCCTACCAATAAAATCTGTCAAAAGTTTTATGTCAAAAATTCCTAGTGTTTTTACCGGTGGAGATTTAATACAATGGATTTTGAAGACACTCGATGTCGATGATACTAGTATGAATACAAATGTTTTTCTTTTATTTTAAAATAAAACAACTGTTCTGTTTTTATTTTATTTAGCTGAAGCTTTGCATTTAGCCAATCTTATGTCATCTTGTGGCTATGTAAGATAATTTTTGGTTTTTCTGCAATCGAAACATTGTTTTTTTTTTGTAGATTTTACCAATTGAAGACCATGTATTAACAGTAAAAAACGATGGTACTTTCTATCGATTTCAAGTAAATATAATTTATAGATATTTGAAAACAAAAAAAACCAAATAATTGTTTTTTAGACTCCTTACTTTTGGCCATCGAATCACGGCGAACCCGATAATATTGATTATGGTACGATTTAATATTTGTTTTTCTTTTTCTATAATTATTTATTTATTTTCTCCAGAATAAAATTGAATTATTGAATTAAAAATGAGGTAGAAAAATAAGTTGCTAAGACTAATCCTTTAACATTTAGTTTTGCTGTTAATTCTAATCTAATGATATTTTGTTCTTCAATAAATATGTTCTAATGTTCTTTTTTTAGCTGTATATTTATGTAAACGAACGATGCAAAATAAAACTCGATTAGAATTAGCTGATTATGAAGCAGAAAATTTAGCCCGACTGCAAAAGTTATTTGCTCGTAAATGGGAACTTATTTATATGCAAGCCGAAGCACAAATAAAGTATGATTGTTAAACAAAAAAAAGAACTAAATTTAATTAGATTGTTTACACTAGAGTTGATAAAAAACGTGATAAAGTTGAACGAAATGTTCTTGATTCTCAAGAGCGTGCTTTTTGGGATGTTTATCGACCAGCACCTGGTTGCGTTAATATGAGTGAACAAGATATTAAAAAATTAATGCGACGAAAAGCAGCATTTTTAAGTTCTCATCCATTATCGGCAACTATAAGAAAGTGGTCAGCAGCATCAGCACCGAACACAGGCCCAGCGTCTGCGCTTGCAGCTGCTGCCAATAAAAATTTCATAACAATGACTGTTGGATTATTGTCAACAGGACCAACAGCTACAACAAATCAAGCACACAATCGACCAACAACTTTACGAGAATGTGATGAAGCAGCGTTAATTGATCAATTATGTCATGAAATTGAATTTCTTAAACGTCGTATTGATAGACGATGTTTAAGAACGTCAAAAGTTTGTGAAAATTATGTTTCATATTTTGAACAATATGCAGAATTTGATCCATTTATAACATCATGTGAACCATCAAATCCTTGTAAGAGAATGTATTATTATTATTTTTTTTTTCTCATTTTGAAATTTCAATGAACAGAAAATATAACCTTATAAATAAAAGTCCAACCTTTCTCTTATCGAAAACATTTTACATGAATGAATTTGTAATAACATGAAATACATGTAATTCGATCGTTGAAGGTTATTTTTTTAAACTATTCATTAGTATTGTTTATAATTAACAAAAAAAGAAAATTGAAGAGTTTGTGATAATGAAAAAAAGTATGTGAGAAGCGCTCCGATTAGGGCTATAGAACGTCTATAATACGTTCTTTTCTTTTACATTTGTCTTCAACTAACTGCAATTAATATTCAATTATCGACGTAGTTTTTCTATCAATTTACAGTAGATGCGCCTGCGGGCATGGATGTATAAAAGGTTCATCAATCCACCTACTATCACAATCTTCAATGTTTGTATTTTATCTTAAAAAATATGTAGGTGGTAATTATACTGATATAGATCTTACTATTAAGTGTGAGCAATGCGTAAAAATAAAATATACTATGAAAAGTATTTCCCTTCTTCCAACTTTCCGCTATGTCTGAAAAACAGCTTATCAGAAAAGTTTGACATTTTCAGGGTAGGTAGATTTTAACGAGTAGAATAAAAGTTGTCATCTTGAATGTTGTCTTCTATGAGATACTGAGATTATAATGATAATAATGATTCTAAAGTTCGTGCTCGTTTCTCCAAGTACTACATTTGATTAAGCTGAAACTTGCTTTTACAGTAATTAGACAATATTTGTAATAGATTTTTTTTTTCTTCAAATAAAAAAGTCAAAGTATTGAACGTACTTTAAAAAAAGGCGTGTTTGTTTTTTGAATAAAGCTATCAAAAATCAACAGAATACAATTCTCTGAAGCCAAAAAAGTTTTAATTCGATCGGACGTACTATGCTGGAGAAAAGGGGACGTTTCTGAATTTCTTTTTCATGAATAGAGTTGGTTCGAGAAAAGAATACCCACAAAACAAAACAAAAGCTTTGGATCTTAAAAGCCAAGGAGATAAGGAATTGCGTGGACTTAGATCTGAGAAAAGCTAAACTTCTGAGTTCTAGTTCGGATATGGAAGGACTTGCGGCTTCCTAAGTAGAAGCGAGTATCCTAAAGTAATCATTTTTTTTCCATGTTATGTTCTTGTATGCTATTAATTAGAGGACGAATTTTTATCAAATAAGAAAGATTTCAGTCGAAGATTGAACTTTATATTTGAAAAGCAAAAGTAATATATTTTTTTTCAGGGATAGTTGATTCGATGGATCTATGGGAATTAGAAAAATTGGGTAATGCTAAAGAAATTTCATCACGACGTGTTAAACGATGGGGTTTTTCAATAAATGAATTACTAAAAGATCCGATTGGTCGTGATCATTTTATGAAATTTCTTGATAAAGAATATTCAAGTGAAAATTTAAGATTTTATGAGGCATGTATACAATTACGTTTTCATACTTCACAAAAGGATGTACTTAAAAGAGTACATGAGATTTATAATGAATTTCTTTCACCAGGTATATTTTAATAGTTATTATATTTTCTTTAATAAGAATTTTAATCTCTAGGTGCTTATTATTCAATTAATATTGATCAACGTGTCATGAATGTAACAAAAAATAACATGACACATTTTCCTAGTCGATACACATTTGATGAAGCTCAGGTTTGATTTTATTTAATTTTTTTCTTTTGAAATTAGTTTTTTTTCTTTTCTTTAGGATCACATCTTCAATTTGATGAATCGTGATACATATGCTCGATTTTTACGTTCTGAAGCTTATAAAGAATTATTATTAGGTGGAAAAAAGAAAGTACGTAATAGTCTATGATGAAAAGGCAAAGAAAAAAAGGAATGAGTTTTTCTTTGGTTCTGCAAAATCAAAAAGACTACAGATATTTATTTTATACTGTTTTTCTCATCTTCTTTTTTCTCCTTTTTTTTGGGACAAACATGCGTGAAAATGCACTTCCATACGTACACACAAACGCATACACATACACATATACATATACATATACATACACGCACACACACATCCATTCTAATTATAAGGATGAGTGTGACGGTGGTTGACATAGCTTTTGCGATTGTGGGAATCTTGTGTGGGATTATGAATACTTCGCTATTATTATTCTTCTCCGTTGTTTGTTGTTGTTTTGTTTTTAGTTATCCAAAAAATACTAATGTAAAAATATTGCGTGCATATATCCGTAATAAACAGTTCACAATTATCTTCATATAATCACTCATATTCATATACATATATTGATAAATATATGTCTATTTATTTATTTATTTATTCTCGCATTATACTCTGCCTGCCTAGACCTCTTTTTCCTTTTGCATTTAATTGCATCGGGTCTTTTTTATATTCACTTATGGTAACAACTGATATACGAATGAACATTTGTTGTGTGATGTCTTGAACCTTAAGTTTTACATTTGATACATATTTCTATTATTCTGCTTGAATTGACAAGAATTGCTTTTATAATTTTTTTTTTATATGAAATATCTCTATAGATGCATTTTGTCTTATTGTTTGCTTTTCTCAAATGATCTATTTACTCAATCTTAATATAGTTATTATATAAACTCAAATTTTCTTCTCTTTGCTTTTTTTTTAAATTCAATTATTGCTAATTTTTTTTTTAATTTTAGCCAGGACTTAAAACAGGTCGGCTTTCAATTGTTCTACGAACTCCATTAGAAACTACACCGACTAGTGGTACTGGTAATAATAGTGGCATTAGCGATAAATATTCATTAGGAACTGGTTCTCGTTAAAATATATATATGTATATATATATTCTACAAGAAATAATATTCATCTATCTCTTCTTTCTCGACAATTTGTTTTTACACTTGTTTTAATTCTAGTCATAACGCCATCAAAAAATATTATTATTTCGTTCTTTTTTTTTTTTTTTTGGCATTTTATGTGTGTGTATAATTTCGCTTTCTATTGCATATATCATTGTACCTGTGTATTTTCATTAGTTGATTGTCATACGTTTTAGTTCTATCATCATTATCAATATTGATAAATAATATATACTTACATATAGCAATATGTAAGATAGATTATCCAGCTGCTCGTTTGTTCGATTATGACACAATTTGATACACCGGATGGAAGTGTGTGCGAAAAGGCTTGTTTCACGCCTAATCAGCATCACATCAATTTTCGAGAAATAGAAAAAAATCTATGCATTTGTAGATATTAATATGAATATTCGGATAGTAGTTGATGAGAAAAAATCTGCTCAATAGTAGAACATATTTCCCAACAGCACGCAGCTTGTACTATCATTGTCATCACTTAAATGTGAACAAAACGGTAGGAGACGATTAATTTAGCCAGTGATTCTTTTTATTTTTTATTTTCTCCTTCTTCAATTATTTGCTGATATAGAAAAGTGAATAATCACTTTTTCTTTCTCTTTCGTTTTTACATTCATTGATATGGCTACAAGCAAGAAGTAAGAAGACATTTGATTGAAAAATTATCTTCAGTGAATTTCAATTTAGAATTGCTTGTAATCAAAAAATGTTATGTCAAACAAGTACACCTAAAAAACCAACTCTAACATCATTACCTCGTTCATCAACACCAAATAAGTTTTATAACCTTGTAAAGAATAAGATCAAAGATAATGATAATCGATCAAAAATTATAGGTGAAAAATGTTGTCAACATTATCAAATACCAATTATAAAACTTGATTTACTTCTTTATCGACCAAAAACTGAATGTTATTATCGTCATCAAAATATTAAACAAATTTGGGACATTTAGAATTCTTTTTGTTCTTTTTTATATTTTTGTTTTAGTTTCTCTTGATTAAAAAAAAACAATTGTATTGAGAAAATAAATATTCTTTATTCTTAACAAAAATTTTAAAGAAAGTTTCTCAACATATTCTTTTTTCAATCAAACAGATTGAGTCGACAACAACAGGACTAGGACTGATACTTAGTGAATATATGTGATATGTTAATAATAATATCTTTATGCTTTATATAAAACATAAATCTAATTGGGTCATTTCACTTGTTATTTAATACTATACAAAATAAAATACACCAATCTTTTCAGAGTATTGATAAATAACAAAAAAAAAATTATTTACAAGCATTTGAATACAATTTTCTATTGAATAGAGCTCATATCAGATCAATGTATATCATAGAGTTTTGCAGAACAGTTTCGGAAATTTTCAGTAGGAGACAAACGAGATTTGGACTTGAAAAAAATTTGTTCCACAAAACTCTAATATATCAGTGTTATGTAATCTTCACTGAAACAAATCAAATACAGTACCGGATGCAGACAGAAAAAAACGATTGTCAATTCCTTTTAAGAAATTTTTTACTGTAGAAATGAACCGATATGATCTCTAAATTGACTTGAAAACACATTTTATGACGATGATAACTTTCATTTATTAAAATCCTAGATCCTTCACTAATAAAAGTACCTTATTAGTATGAACTTATTTCACATAACATAAGAAAAATAATGGAAAAACTTGAATTTTATCATAAATATTCATTCTAGCTTTGATTCCTGTATGAATTTGACAATATCTGTTTAATAAGATAAATCTTTGATATGTTTGTCTATATTTTTATGTTGAATTAACTTATTGTTCTTTGAATTTGTTCAAGTTTATTATGTGCTAAATATTTTCTTAAGAATAATTTTTCTTCACCTCTATTCGTACCGCGTAATTGCTGTCTGCTCAATGTTTTGACTCTATTTAAATGTATAGGATACGGCACGCGTCATTGTTTTGCTTTACAATTCACACCTACATTCAAACTTAACATCACATAAACAATAAACTTTCTCGTTTTCTCTTTAATAGACTATGTATTACATATATATGCTTATCAAAGATTGATATCGAACAAGTATAGTATTAATTGATAATAAATAAAACTTCAAAGAGATGAAAAAACAAAACTAGTTCAAGTATTTTCACTTGAGTTTAATTTTATATTGAACTTTATTTTGGTTTTCAAAAATTTCAAACTATTAAATATATCTTTATTGTTTTCTTTTTCTTCATATTCTATCTGTCACCGTTTAGCAGTTAGTTGTCATTGTTTACTCGATAAGGGAATCATTTTTCTCTTACCCAATTAATGTATACATATACAATCGCAGTGTTGTCTTTTTTTTTTTTTATTCTTCTCTTTCCTTCTTTATAAATATCTTCTCTATTTAATATTATAACATTATTAAAGAAATAACAAAACGAAAATAATGATGAATATGGATGATGGATCATCTTTACTTCCAAGTGTTGATTCATTTCAATTACATGTACCATTAACATCAACACCAAAACGTTCGAATAAATCTTATAATTCTCAACCATTATCATCAACATTATCAATGTCTAATGATTCTTGTACACAATTTGAATTATCAATTTCCGCAATTACATTAATTCAAAAATCACCTATTCTATCATACCAAAAACAATATCGATCGAATCGTTGTCGACGAAGTCATATACCTCCATCAACGATTATTAAACGTATTGAATTGAAATATTTATTATATTCAACAAGAGCTATGAAATATAATAAACAACGTCAATATACTGATACTGAAATGAAAATTTATGTTATATAATAAGACTAATATTATCTATTTTTATTTATTGTAAAAGTAAATTAGTAGTTTTGTCGCTTTTTTTTTCAAATATGATCATCAATTAAAAAAAAACAAAGACTATTTTTTTTGTTGTTCTGGATTATACTGATGAAAAAATTATCAGTTCTTAAAAGATTACTACTTCATTATTTCACTCTTCTCAGATTGATCTACGCGAGTGTCTGATAAATATGCATGTATCATTTTAGGAGACTCAAATATCTAAAAGTATATTTGTGATTGGATTTTACGTGTCTTCTTGATTGCGGACGAAAATCAATGGAATTAGCATGCCTACAGTGTGGGTGAGGGCTGAAGCCAGACAGACTTATATAAAATTAACTTAAACTAGTACGCTCGTGACTAGACACGTGTACGAGCAAGTGTTTTTTTGTTCCGGTTCCGGTAAATTTTTTATCCATCAGTTCCGGTCATAGTTTCAGCAAATCTAGTGTAGTCCTGTTCAAATGATTTTAGTTTTGAGACTCTTGAACAGAATCTAGATCCTGATAAGGTTTTATTGTTTGGTTGTATACTTGTCTACTTATGACGCAAATTGATAGTAGATTTAAAATAGCTAAGAAGTTCTAGAGGATAGTATTAACATATTATTGGAGTATAGAATTTTCGCTTTTTTTTGCTCTTGAATCAATCTCGGATTGGTCTAGAGAATCCTAAAATTCGAAAGATTCTTATCAGTGAACTAATAGAAAGCAATGACATTGCATTGAATGCCATCATCAGTTAATCCATTAAATCAGAATTCATGAAGTGAACAAAGGTTTTATACGCAAGGACTACTTCAATGGAAAGACGTTTATAATTGTTTGAATTTTTACTTAATTCTTGTATTATCTGAAATGTCATTGTGTTCTCTTTGCTCACCAAAAACAACTCGAATCTGACATTGATGAATAGACTGATTTGAGTTATAGATTAAATTTCTCCTTCAATCCGACATTACACATATCCAAGGTGAGCATAAACGCTGTTGAGGTGGAGTTTTGCGGTTTCTTTCGTGAGAAATCGATTTTTATAGGATCGCATCCTGATACATTACAAGTCCCATAAAAATTCTTTCGGTTGAACTGAAAGTATATTTTTTAGCTACCCAAGACTATATTTTATAGATAATTTTAAGTTTTCTGAAAATATCAGTTTCTCTTATGAGAGAAACACATTAAGGTTCAATGCTACAGCTCGAATGTTGAGTTTCAGGGCCCCATAAATCTGAATAAGAAATTCACAAACGAAAACGATTTATTTAATCTTTGGAATAAACTTCCAAGTATCAGTGATAAGAATTTCAGTCTAATTGAACAGAGTTAGATCGGTGTCGTAGACAACAAGGGTTTCTAAGGAACAAAGCCACAAAAATCCATTTAATCATTGTTTTATTCGAACACGTGTCTCCTTATTTTAAATACTCTATTGATGATAGAAACTTCAGTTTAATCAGCTGTATTATCTTCGAAAATCAGAAATATTCGAAAAAAAGAAAAGAGCATACTCTTAATCAGTTTGTCTGCTTCGTTTTTAAATTGTACTACGTATATATTTTTTTTTTCTGTGCAAAAGCTATATGCTAATCAAAAGAAATTCAATCAAAAATTTCTTTTTCAGTGTTACTAATATGCCACTGATGATAGATCATATTACGTTTTTTTCTTATCAAAAGTTTAGTCTTATCAATGCATTGTGTCATAGTTTAATTTTCAAAAAAAAGAAAACAACCAAACATCAAAGCTTAACTTGCCTGTGTTATCATATGTCAGATGCATTTTTGATCGACAACAACACAGAACTTAGTTCTCTTTTAATTTTAGTTTGAATACCAAAGAGTACGGTCTTTTCTCCTGGTTTAAAATCAACAATAAAATGAAAAACATCAATCAATTTCTAATTTTAACTGTCTTTATTTTTATCATTCGGTTGAGCGATGCTAAACCTACTGGCGATAAATGTGAGTATTAAAGCTTGTTTAGATTTTTGTAAATAATAGAATTCACTTTAATGATATAGACTTTCGAAAGCATAATTTTTTTCTATGGAAATGACATTGTAGTGAAAGACTTTCTGTTTATAGTCTACATGGATAAAATGTGTGGAAATGAATCAATTATTCTTGATGGTGATTCTAAACCTGGTACATCGTTTCAATTAACAAGCAATAGTAAATATCAGCCGAATTTTCATTGTACTATCAAATTTCGTACAGCACAAGCAACACAACGATTTGTTGTTACGGTAGAAAAAATGAATACTGTTAATTGTCCACATGATTTATTACAAATCTATGATGGTTCAACATTACTTAATAAAGATATTAAACAACAATGTGGTACACCTTCTTCATTCAGTTTTACTGTATGATACTTGATAGTCATTTATTAAAATTTTAAAAATCCTTTTTCATACTATTTAGACTACAACAGGACAAGTAACATTTACATTTATAAGTGGTGCAGGAACTAAATCTTCGGGTTTTCAAATAGCTATTGCACTTCATTTTCCAGGTAAAGATAAATATAAATTTTTCGACAATTTTTAACCGTAGAAAGAAATACACATAGGCTTCAAGAGACAGGCTTTCTCTACCTAATAGTTTATGCATTCGCAAATTCGACTGTATATTATTGACATCCGAATAGATGGCACTATCTGTTGACACATCACCAGTACTCAGTAGGACCTGATACTGCATACACTATTAGATAGAAGAGATTTCTCTTTATAATCCTAAACATATGCTGTTTTCTAGTCAAACTCTTATCGTCTATTTTGCTTAGGATTGAACAAATCATTTGAAGAGTTCTATGAACTGTTTACAGTTAAAATATTTCGACCTACTTCTTTTAGTGGCCTTTAATCAAGAATAGTCAGAACTACAAAATCTGCCTCGAATTTCGAGCCATTGTTTTTGCGGAGCATAATCAAGCTCATAAAGCTAACATGATTTATTGGTACACATTATTTCGTCGTCTAGACTAGTCTAGATTGAATACTACTTTAATATAGATCAAAACAATTTAGCTGTAAGAGTTTCTTTAGAAACTTTATATGCCTCGCACACTTCTGCCTTTATTTTCATAAATTAATAGATCTTTATTATTTTTATTCAGCGGTCGCTGCATGTCCTCAACATCTTGGCTTTTTTCTATGTAGCAATAAGAATTGTATTTCAAAAAAGCTTCAATGTGATACACATAATCATTGTGGTGATTTTACAGATGAAATATCATGCAGTATAGTTGGTAAAAAATAACAAAAAAATGAAAAAAAAGAACCTGATATATAACTTCTTTATTGTAACTCAATATCTTTAATAATACCGTACTTTTAAACATAACTGACATTATTGTTAAAAAATAAAATAAAATAAAAAAAAATGAAATAATTCCTTTTTTTTTCTTTTTCTTTGAGAGAAGAAGTTATTTTACAACAAAAATAACAACAAAATAAATTTCCTATGATCGTTTTGGTTGACCAACATCAATTAAAAAATGTGTATAAAGATGATGCAAAGTTATATTAAGTAATTTATATTTAACATTATTAACACCATCAGAATCAATACGAATATGTGCTGTACGTAAAACTTTCATACGCGAAGGATTTAATTTTTGATGTGTATGTTTTAACATTTTATAACGTGCTATAGATGCTGGTGGTCGTTCAAGAATTAAATGTTTCTTAGTAATACGTTTATACATATCATCATCTTCACCACCCCAACCCCAATAATTAGTTGAATAGCCATTAACAAGTATATAATGCTCACGACGCATAGCTAAACGAAAGGAAAAGTCTTATCTCCGGGATTTGCGTTACAACGGAAATTACTGTATAAATAATTACATGTCTTATCTTGTTTGTTTTTCGTTCAATAATAAAACTAATTATGAGTTTATTACATGAAGAAAGAGTTTTGATATAAATAAAGTATTGAGAATATTTCTATACTATGAAATATTAGATGTAGATCAAATACAAAATCCTATTTAATTTTATGAAGTATGATACTTTAAATCAATATTTCATATGTAATATATAGAATTTCTGTGATGTTTGCTTTTAGCTTAGGGTAGTTTTTAGTGAATAAAACTTAAGTCGATTCAGATAATAATTATATATTAAATATTTTTTTGGTATATTTAATGTATTCATATTTCTTGGATTGATTTCATTTAGAATTAGAAAACAATGCTAATTGAATCTCATTTTATATACTACAAATTTATTCAATTTTTGCATATCATATGAGAATAAGTATTGTTTAATAATTTATTTGCACTTCAATAAAAAAATACGATTTCTCCGGGTAGTAAATCAGATATTATTTATTATTTCGAAACTTGTAAGAAAAACAATACTGATGATAAAATATTTATAAATAGTTTGTACTATATTACTCTCAGCTATCTGCTATCTTTATACTAAGTATAGTGTCAGTATTTCTCATTTTACTATATAATATATATATATGTATATACCTATGAGATTGATTTATTAGCTGAGTTTAACTCTCTGACCTGAACGGTCCCTAAGGAGCAATATAGATATGAGATATAAGGTTACGTTAAACCTACAAAATTCTTTTTCACTTACCTAAAACACCACCAACAAGTTCTGGATAGGGTAAATAAAAATCAAATTTATCAATAGCAACACTTAAATGACGTGGATATAATGGACATGTATACATATTTCGATCATCAATTAATAATAAATCCACATCATGCATTATAAAACATGGTGTATTTGGTTCAAGGTTTAAAATTTCTTTAAAACAACTATTCATAACAATACCTTTATTAAATGTACTATCAAATGCTTGTTCACATACATATATTCGATAATCTAATTGTTGTCGTTGTAAAAATTCATGTGTATGAAAAAGAAAACGTCTTAAAATATCCCAACGATCTCGATATGGTACAATAATAGCGATTTTATGACGAGCTACACATATTTTTGGATGATAGTGACCACCATGTTGAACTTCTGGATAGTATGGTGATATGTCTAAAAGAGAAAAATTTTCTGGTGGTTCTTGTATCATTATTGGACCTTTTAAATTAGATGGTATAAGTGGACAATACGATGAAGATGTATTGCGACGATCTAATATCATCATAATATTAGCGGTAAACACTTGTAAAAACATTTGATAAGTTTCATCCAGTAAACCATATGTTGTGGCTGATTGATTATCTGATGCATTTGCTAGAGAATTTCCTATAAGAGATATTTTTGACGGTGTGATAAATGCATTATTTTCAGTTGAAACAGCATGTCGAATAACATATACAACATTAAAAATAGTTGTAATAGACATTATAAGAGTGCAAATGATGCACCATTTATAGATACGCCTTTGAAGTTGAAATTTATTCATCGATTAATTATATAAAAAAAAAAAAAGATAAGAAATAGTTTTTATAAAATAAAATTTACTTTTATAAAATATTTATAAGAAATTTCTTCTTCTGCCGTATAACCAAGATGACATGAGGAAAATATCGACTCGTTCTCTATTTATAATAGATAGATGAAAAGAAGGTTGCACATACACGTAAAAGAGATAGAAAAAAAAAGCGTGCATCTCGTTTTTGTGTTCTTGACTATTGTCAAGAATCTTGGATACATGATAACTAACATTGTTTGTTGCTGTTATTATTTTCTTTTCTTAAAAAGATTTTATACTTATCTTATCAAGTACACTTTAGAGAATATAAGAAATAAAGAAAAATCACTGATACCTCTTGAGACGATTTTAATCAAATAAACTATAAACTATATTGATATTATTTATTGAAGTATAAATTTTCAAGCAATAAAAAAAAAAATACTAATATCTCTTATTTCTACACTTATCAAATATATACTTGAGTCATATTACTAATCATTGGTTGATATACGTAGAATGAAAAAAATATATATTACAACTGAATAAAAAAGAAAAACAGTAAGCAAAATAAAGATCATAAATAACTGAAAATATCTTTAAATAGTTTATATCTATCTGACTATTAAATGTATAAAGAAAATTAAATACAGTGTCGAGTCCATACTGAATCAAATAGTTGCAATGATTTGTTCAATGAAAACAAAATTAATGAAGCGAAACAAGGTAAAAAGAAAAGTGCACATCAACGTTTTTCATCACCCGATACATGTGCTTATATTAGCATAAAAAAGTAATATCCAATAGAATATTTACTTTTTATCAATAGAGGATGATAGTTTTCTGTTTATCGCACATTATTTTAAGAAAATAATTTATTTTGATCAATGTTTGAATATTCGTTCAAGTAAATAATCACATAAGCAGAATATTAATAGTAATAAACATGTCTATAGAATCAATAAATAAGAAAATTTAAATAAAAAAAAAAAAAAACAAGAAACAAAAAAAAACGAGTCCAATTTCATCCACGCTATATTTCGTCACTATAATATTGCATCTGATCCGTATATTTATGATCATGAAAATTAAAAATAAAGCATGGATAGAAATATTCTGTGTTATCTATAAAAAAAAATTCATAGAGTCATTAGAACAACAAAACGTCAAGTATATTTGCCTTTTCAATGTGAAATCGTGTCTGAGTTAGTGTTTATTTACAGGCTTTTTTTATTGTTTTAACAACATAAGTCAATGCTTTTCTATTTTCGTTTAAGCTTTTTTTTTGCTGAGTAGATTTGTCAAGAGTCTTATCTAATTCATAAATTCTCATTGGTCATAAAAGAATCTCATAGATAAAATTTTTTAAGTACTAAAAAAATCAAGTCTAATTCTTTTTCACCACAGAATACGACAATTTCTTGTATAATCTAGCAAGATTCTTGCACTTTATTTTCACAATTAGTATAGATCTATTTTAATTTCATCTTCACTTGTATTTTATTCTTAAAGTTAAATGGCATAGATTTGGTGGAAGGTGAAAAATATCGAAAAAAAGTTATGTTTCAAAAATAGAATATCAGTGTATAATTAAAGAGAAATATTCATATTTCACATCCATCCCTTCTACAATATCCAAGACCTAAGAAATAGAAATTTCTAACGTAGGTTGTAAAAGAACTCTCAACAGAGCTATGACAATTCTTCGAGAAAACGTGAATCGACCATTAGTTCTTTCGCAGTTCCACCATTCAGAAACGCCGGACTGATGCTTTTTCCGCAAATAGTTTTCACACCGAGACATTCACATTCATAAACTCATTGATGAATATGAATGGGAGGGTCAACACTATCGTAGACATGGTATCTTTTTTTTAATTTTAGCAATCATGACTTTGTGCAGAAACCGAAAAGGAATGTCTATTTTCTTAGTTCTTCAAAACACCTACTATGTTTATACGATCAACATTTTTTCCGCAATTTTTTCGTTCGATCAAATCGATACATACCATTGAAGATTTTACAAATATTGTCGACATTAAAAAAATGAACAGAATGATTATACAACAAAACAAAATTACACTATTGATAAAAGTAATAAGAAAATAAGAAGCAGATGTTCATAGTCATTTGGATAGAATTTTTTTTGCGTAAATCAGAAAAATAATTCATCGTTCTTATAGACATAGGCAAAGTACGTTCAAGTGAGTTATATAGACATATAAGAAAAAAAGAATGACTATCCATCTTTCAATTTCGAAGAGAGTCTTTTTATCGTTCTATTAATCGATGTAAAGTACTCTAGATTGAATTTCAAGGCGAAAAAGGATTCTATGTAATACAGCAAGAAAAATGAGAATCTTGAGAGAATATAGGCAAGAATATCGACTTGTTAAGTACCTAGAATGATACTTCGAAAAAAAAATCAAAAGTACAAATGAAGATGTGAAGCAAACTTCATTTTCAATTTTGGATAATTTGTATAAATCATGGGTAAACTTATATAAAATTACTTTGATAAAATAGTTCTTTGCTTATCGATCTTTGCTCTTCTTAAAGTATGCTTTTTTGCTTTTCATTTTGTTCAATTAAAAAGAAACATTTGATTTCGGCCTAGTAGATCGACAACAAAAAATCTTTTCAAGAGAATATAGTCATGAAGTTAGAGATGCACTTATTTCTTAGAACAGAATGTTAAAGATGCCATACCTTTTCTTTGTTAAGAATATAGTTCCTGAAGATTGTTGATATCAGCCATCCATTGCTCTATTAGATACTGGAGTTGAAATACATGAAACAGAGAAAAAAGGTTTCTGAATAAGTCGAAAAACTCTATGTTTTAGTGTTTTTGATCAATCCTAACTGATTGTCATGAAGAGTTACAAGAAGTTTGATAATGCTTAACATTAGAAATCTTCTTAAGTTCGATTAAAAATTTTAAAGAATTGATATCCCTGTTTACAAAAATATATGTTGAGTGTTGAGCATTATCGAATTCTTGACGATTTTTCATGACGCGATTGTGTTCCGTTGTAAACCCTCTTTTCGAATGTGTTCCTTAGATGTTGTCTAATGCAAAATACAAGTCTTAAAAATGAGTTGGAATAGATTGGAAAAAGCGACAATACGGGAGCTTGAGGTCAATTCCAAAGCTCCAGTTTTCTATGTTATATGCTTCAACTACAGCTTCGAATAGAGTAACCATGGTTGATAGAAATAATCCTGAGGGCGTACATTCTTAATAAGGAAAGAAATTTCATCATTGAAATCACGTTCTAGGAATTAGTACATTCTTCAATGAAATTAACACGAGATCTCTGCGAATATTTTTCAAAATACTCTCTTCCTCTTTGCATGAATAGAGTTTTGTATTGATCATATAATTATTTTTGTTAGTCACAAGTTCGAATCAACTGATCTTACAGCTAAATCTATGTCTGTTTTTAATTGAATTATTCTTAATGTATAAACAAAAACTTAAGTTTAGAATAATTTTTCTTTTTATTGAATTTTTTGTAAGCAAACTGAATCATCTATTGAAGGTTGGGAGATGGATAGTGAAGATTCGATCAAAGACTGCAAAAGTTGGGGAAGAACGTATGTGATTCGTCAATAATTGAAAATTATTCTTCGCTAGTCAGTGAAAGTAGCACAACTTTTTAAGCCTTTTTAGTACTTCAATGAGACATTTTCCCATCCATCCTTTTCCCTAATCTTAAAACCTTCATACAGCTACTAGATTCTATTCCGATATTCTCATCTCGTATTTCAACGAACACTCTTTGATGTCTACTCTCGAGATCATCGCATCAGACAACTATAACTTTTTATGCATATGACTAATAAGAAAAAAATCAATTATAAAGAAAACTTGTGACGAATCACTACATAGGTGTTTCTTTCAGACCTTACAAATGATTTTCTAATAAGTATACATATGCATTGCTTTCCTATTATATATACAGGCAAACCAACATAGAATCTACGTTAATTAACTGTTCTCTTCAGCAAACATGCTTTTCTTCACATACTCTCAATTAGGATAAATAAATAAATAAATCTACAAGTTAGTTTTTTCATACTCATTATATCTTCATAATTGAGTACTAAAGCTGAAAGAAAAGGTATGACATGCATACATTAATCTATAGACAAGACAAAGTTCAATAATGATGTTTTTTCAAATGTATTTTTCATAGAAATCACTTGAATGTAGATACTTAGCTGATTTTATTTTCTGACTATAAAATAATAACAAGAAGAAGAAAAAAAGGATACGCTTTTATCTAATTAACAACTAAATACATTGATATTGGTGATCGAAAGAAATATGTCACTCTATCAAGTCATTTGCATGTGGTAATATTAATAATTGTTTGTGAGTGTATGCTTTGTGTAAATCTCACGTGTCCATTGTATTCTCAGTGTTATTTTTATGGAAATTTATCAGAAGAAAAATTATTAAATATCGTGCTTAATATAATTCATACAATGTTGATAAGCTTGTATTTATTAAGACATCTCATAACGAATGTGACCATGAAAATCACGATCAGTGCGTTCTAAAATATAAAGAGTACCAAAAAAAAAGAACGAACATGATTAACAACGATTAATTTTAAACCATTTCTTCTAGTACTCAGAATTGAAAAACTATTGATTTATCAGCAGTATAAAAATCAATCATAAAGTGTGTTAGCTCAATGATATAGTATAAGACATATTATAACTAATGGGAATTGAAGACATCAAATAATCTTTTATGGCAGTAGAAAACCAGTGAAAGATATGAATGTATTAAAAATTAAATTTAAGACCATAATGTATCTATAGAAGATATTGAATAGAAAATGGTATAATAACTTTGAATTTTATATTCTAAGAAAAACAGTAGACAACGAACAAAAATCTACAGTGTATCTTGCTTGAAA